CAATTTCTAAAAAACTGGCCCCCAAAAGAGCTTGTCAAGTAACCGACACAACAGTGAATAAAAAATAGAAATGAGCGACGCAACCAGCACATTCTATGGATCTTATTACCATTTACCCAGCTCGACCAGATCATACTATTGGTCACTTTAGCAGAGTATTGCAACGTTTATTAACAAACAATCTACTTAAAAATATCTGAAACATCAGCAAACGACATCGAACTGAAACAAGTGAACAAATGAATACCAACATGAAAAAATTTCCGAAAGATCCAGAAATATCAAGAAATGATAACACTAATCTTCTCACGGAACAAATATGAAATGTTTGATTCGAAATATTTAGGTCACACACTGGCACAGAATATCCTTCTGAAGTCTCAGATCCCTAGAATGACTAGCTGACAAAATCGCTTTTCGTTACACTTATATTTAACGCGTCCGAGCACCCGACACAGACGAATGCAAAGCTCAATTTATGCATAAATGCCCATGTATGGAAAAGAAATATTCTCGTGAAGTTAAAGCGCTCTAGTCAGCTTAGTTCTCGAGTTAATCTTAATTTTGATGCGTCCATACATGGGCGTAAAGCTGAATTTGAAATGTTTGGCTTACAGGAATAGCTTTTAAAATTCCAGTTTACACTCCAGCCAAATTCTTGAATTCGTTTTCTCGCCAAAAAATTTGAATGTTTTCAGGCATCATACACGCACATGCCGAGACAGCCCTCGATAATGCACGTTTTTGCATTTGCACAAAAATGTAATGATAAACACAGATGGTTGATAGGCAACGCAAACAAGACTTGTCAACACATGACAATCTAGTTGCCATCGCACCGACTGCCGGTATGAAGATGTGTTTTTTGCAATTTTTTCTTCAGGATTGCTAACGCTGATAGAGGCAGCTACAGGGAAAATACTTGTTGGTAAACAAACAGTCCAAAAAAAAAAAACGCTGGCTCGAGAATCAAAAAAACCAGGGAGTTGAAATTTTAAGAAGTTGCCTGGCGCCGTCTCATGTGTCTGGGAACAAAACAACATTTCATTGAATGAGCATTTGACAGTTTCTGGAAACTTGTCTATTCCAGCGAACCGAACACAGATAAGTTTGAAATTTCAACAAGTCCGATTTTCAAAAAGCATTAGATTGATTTGTTTGGTTAAATAATGAATAACTGGGAGAAGTAGTAGAGAAATAATCCTGGACTCGCATTGCTAATCCAGGATTAATCCTTTATTTCCGTCTCGGAACCACAAATGGCAGGAGCAGAAAGTGCATTTTTGTTGAAAAGTTGATAGTGATTAATTTTTACGCGTTTTTTGCAGCTATGCAATGCAAAAACGCATACTGTCGAGATGTCTGTGTCTGTGTGTGAATGTGTATCTGTGTGTGCATCTGTAACGAGTTTTCATTACGAGATCCACAAAAGCTACAAGGCTGGAAATTTAGTGGCTTAATCTACACATACGTGCGAGCTTGTAACCCCAAAATGGGCGCTCAAGTCGGCGTGGTTCTCACTTAGGGGCACGTGGAAGTTTTTTTGGCGAGAAAGCGTTTTCGGGAACGGCCCATGCTAGGAGGCTGGAACTTCACAGAGTTGTTCCTTGGTCACGTCTAATCCAAAGATTTCAAATTCAGCCTTCGTGCACCCTTAGAACTCACGTACGCACAAGTCAAAGTTCAAATTGGCACCATGCCAACTGCAGATTTAAGGTGAACAATAAGCTGCAGAGAGCTACAATTCTGCAGCGTTACTTGTCGCTCACTGTTGTGTCCTTGAAAGTAAATTGTTTGTCAGCTCTTCTGCATCTCACGTACCAACACGTGAAAATTTTACGCATGCGCTTTTGCAACTATAGAATTGAACCAGCCAGAGGTCCTGAACTTTCTGAGCATAATCGATGGTGGCTTTTGACCAGACGCACGCAAGGACGACTTACACATCACTTTCACGTCTCACGCGCGTTTCACATGCACACACGTGAAATTTGACGTAACTCCGCACCCAGAGCACTTTGAGTGCTGAAACTTTCCGAGCGTTACCCAGGGCCGTGTTTGAGTAACCGCGGGTGAAGAATCCACTCACGTTGCCACTCACGTACGAACACGTGAAATTTGACGTAACTCTGCAACCAGAGCAGCTGGTCTCACGTTGCCACTCACGTACGAACACGTGAAATTTGACGTAACTCCGCAACCAGAGCAGCTGGAGTGCTGGAATTTTTCTGAGCGCTACCCTGGACCGTGCTTGACCAACTGCGGGCGAAGAAAGCACTAACGTGCAGTAAATGTGGGATGGATGTGGTGGTCATCATGGCGCGAGGTACACAGGGAAGCGTTTATTGGATGTTAAAAAGGATAGAAAAAAGCAATCAAAGTAACGGTTGCGCCAGCCTAACCACAGGTTGATGAGAAGTGATGAGCTCTGCCAATGTCCCGTGAGGTCCAGTCGATGAGTGTGACGATGTGGGGAGTCGAGTTGAAGACAGACGTGTGGAACCAATTGGAGTTGAGACCGGGTATAGGACGAGGACCAGAAACTGGAACCAGGACCCGGAGTCAGGGAAATGGGGGCATATATGGAGGCTAAAGGATCACCCCGGAGGTGAAGGAATGTTCCTCCTTTCCGGTGATGAAGACCCAAAAGGCGCCAGACAGGCGCGCTAAAAAAAAGTTGTTGACCAGGAAAAGGGTGGGATTGGAAGGAATGTGAAGATTGTTGAATAAGATTAAGATGGGGTAGGGGATAGGATTACTGTAATG